AAAATAGAGTCTCTCACTGTTTCCATTGTTCCCCCATCTATTTGCTATGAAGTGAAGGGACCAGATGGCATGGTCTTAGTTTTCTGAATGTTGAGTTTTAAGCCAACTTTTTCACTCTCCTCTTTCACTTTCACCAAGACACTCTTTAGTTCTTCTTCACTTTCTGCCATAAGGGTGGTATCATCTGTGTATCTGACGTTATTGATATTTCTCCCGGTAATCTTGATTCCAGCTGTGCTTCATCTAGCCCAGCGTTTCTCATGATGTACTCTGTCTGTAAGTTAAATAAGCAGGGTGACAATATACAGCCTTGACATACTCCTTTCCCCATTTGGAAACAGTCTGTTGTTCCATATCCAGTTCTAACTGTCACTTCTTGACCTGCATACAGATTTCTCAGGAGGCAGGTCAGGCGGTCTGGTATTCCCATCTCTTTAAGAATTTTCCACAGTTTGTGGTGATCCACACAGTTCAAAGGCTTTGGCATAGTCAATGTAGCAAAAGTAGATGTTTTTCTGGAACTCTATTGTTTTTTATATGATTCAGCAGATGTTGGCAATTTGATCTCTGGTTCCTCTGTCTTTTCTAAATCCAGCTTGAACATCTGGAAGTTCATGGTTCACGTACTGTTGAAGTTGACTTGGAGAATTTTGAGCATTATTTTGCTAGCATGTGAGATAAGAGCAATTGTGCAGTAGTTTGAACATTCTTTGGCACTGCCTTTCTTTGGGATTGGAATGAAAACTGACCTTTTCCAGTCCTGTGGCCACTGCTGGGATTTTCACATTTGCTGGCATATTGAGTGCAGCCCTTTCATGGCAATGTCTTTTAGGATTTGAAATAGCTCAACTGGAATTCCGTCATCTCCAATAGCTTTGTTCATAAAGATGTTTCCTAAGGCCAACTTGACTTCGCATTCCAGGATGTCTGGCTCTAGGTGAGTGACCACACCATCGTGGTTATCTGGGTCATGAAGATCTTTTTTGTATAGTTATTCTGTGTATTCTTGCCACCTCTTCTGTTAGGTCCATTCCATTTCTGTCCTTTATTGTGCTCATCTTTGCATGAAATGTTCCTTTGGTATCATTAATTTTCTTGAAGAGATCTCTAGTCTTTCCTATTCTATTGCTTTTGAACTGTGGTGTTGGAGAAGACTCTTGAGAGTCCCTTGAACTGCAAGAAGATGCAACCAGTCAATCCTAAAGGAAATCAGTCCTGAATATTCATTGGAAGGACTGATGTTGAAGCTGAAACTCCAATGCTTTGGCCACCTGATGTGAAGAACCAACTCATTGGAAGAGACCCTGATGCTGAAAAAGATTGAAAGCAGGAGGAAAAGGGGATGACAGAGGATGAGATGGTTTGATGGCATCATCAACACGATGGACATGAGTTTGAGGTGGCTCTGGGAGTTGGTGATGATCAGGGAAACCTGGCATGCTGCAGTCCATGGGGTCGCAGAGAGTTGGACATGACTGAGCAACTGAACTAAACTGAACTGAACTAGACCCAGAGGAGCTGACACAGGGTAAGACACCTCCCAGGGTCCCACCTCTCTGAGGGTCCTGCCTTCTTATTCTCCCCATCTTATTGTGGTCTCACTTGTGATTTTCCTACCATAACTGTCCCAACCACAACCATCCTCCTGGCTTCTCTCCATGAACATATCTGTAGCGCTGATGTTCTGGTGAGAGTCCGCAGAGCACCACCCCTGGCCAGGGAGGGTAGAGAAATCCCAGGGGGCTATAACACCCAGGGCCTCTGTCTCCTTAGAAGAGCATGGGAACCAAAAGATGCAGCCAGCAATTAGCAGCAGTAACTCATGAAAGGACTGAACCACTTGGTACATAGAAAAGATGTGTCATCCAGGTGTCACCAGCCCTTCCTGAGGCGCTTGGCGGCCAAAAACTCCAGCCAAAAAGAGGAAAACCACAAATACAATTCCTAAGGCCTTAAGAAGTCATGAGATCTGCAGTGGATCTCAAGGGAACGACAAGGTGGTGGTTACCATACACTCACTCAGCAAGATCTTCCTTAAAATTATTGACATTTTGAAACATCTCTCTTTTCCAAAAACGTCTGTTTCTCAAGACGTGGACCACTCCCTCTCCCCACCTCGAGCCCTGTCCCATGCTCCCCCCTTGGCCCTCATGTGTCTCCATCTCACTTCTCATTGAGAGCCATGTAGTTCTTTCTCCTCTTGCCTTTTCCAATCCATTTCTCACCATCTCTTCCCCTCGCCCCTACCCCCAAACCCCACACTTGTCCAGGACGCGAGAAAGTCACACAGCCTCCTTCTGCTTTACGAGCTGAAAAGCAGTGGAAATGCAAATGCTTCTCATGTTTTTCTCTGCCACATATATAAAAATGGGAAATTTGCTATCACAGAGGTTCTAAACCCTTTCCTTCCAAATAGAGAAGAAAATGAAGAGTTCATAGAACACATGTCTTGCTCTAGAACAAACAGTCCAGCAGGCCTGAGCGTCACATTTCATTATAGAAAATGTATCAATTAGATAATACCCCCCATGTTTTCCTCCTGGCATTCTGGGTGCTTCTCATTCTTCAGTTCCAATTACCGTAACTATGCTTACAGAGCTGGGAGTGACAGTGTTCCCACTGGCGTGGGTTTTCTTCCACACCCACCAGGCCATGGAATATTATGCTCCAAGGGACAGAGGGACGACTTTGGCCACAGAGGAATCTGGCAACTGGCCAGGCTCTGAACCATCTCCCTCTGGTGTGGTCTTGAGGTCAGTTTGTCTAACTTTACCAGGAAGCCACAGGGGCCAGAAGAATCAAAGCAAAGACAAGAGACCAAGATAAACACAACTGACCTGACCACCTAAATAGACTCTAGTCATTGCAACACTTTTAACTACTGGGGGAAATCTTATGAGCTGGCTAAGAATTTGGGGGCTGATAGGAAACTGAAGTCAACAAAGCATTAGATTGTTATCTATGCGGTTTTAATTAGCCAGGGGTCAGTTGTCTGCTTGCTCCCCTGCAGCAAATTACCAGTGTTAAATGTTACCCCTGCAAGGCTGTGACAGACAGAACGTCCCTTAAACCAAGTATGCATCTAACAATTCCCTTTTCAGCAGTAAGATCTACAAACCAGACTTGAGCTTAAAAAATTCATGAAACATTTTTCAAGGACAAACAGTTGAAGAAGTTTCAGCCAAAGGTAGGGTTATCAAGTTGTCCCAGCTTGCCCGGGACTGAAGTTTCCCAAGGCATGGGGCTTTCAGTACTAAAGCCAGGACAGTTCCAGGCAAATCCTAGATGGACCTCAACCCTAGTAGAGGGTTGAATTAGATGGAAGGGGGTGGTACACTCGAGGGAAGGTAGAGAGGGAGAGAAAATAAACACCTTCAAAACAGTTCAACTTCTCTTTAGTTCAAAATCAACTACAGATGTCAACCGTGTCAAAGTGTGTACAAACTATTTTTTCAACAAAGGGTTTATGGCCAATGACCTTGGGAGACGCTCCACACAAACTCCATCAGCTCTCCTTCACATGGTCTCCATGCACATCAACACACTGAAGGCTCTGAGAAGTCCTGCAGTGGTGAACATGCTTTAATCTGGTCCTCTCAGGGGGTCCCAAGTCTGTGGGAACACACAAGTCTTTTTTTCGCTTAAAGTTTATGATCATCCAACTGAACGTACTTTGAGAAATGGGGGTCTTGTTCACAAAACCGTAATCAACCGAGGAGGTACGTGACTCACACTCGGTAAAACACACACATCTACTTAAGAGGCCAACACAGTTCTCTTTGTATTCAGTTAAAACCATACTGAAAACTTACCTAAAAGAGAGCCATGATTTGTATTTTTAAAAAGACATTTGGGGAAAATGACTGAGATGTATGTAGGATATTAAAGATTAACTGAACCAGTAAAAACACTGCTGAAAAGACTAAAGACTTGAACCTGAAACATAATCTGAAGTGAATTTTGTGTCCGATATACGTGAGAGATTTATTTATTCATTCATTCCACTTATTCATTCACGTTAAGCATGAATGTTCTAGGCACTGTGCTAGGCCCAGGGATAATGCAGTAACAAGAGACAGTGATAAGGTCTCCAATGCTTGGGGCTTCCAACCTTAAATGTCACTACATCTTAACTAACAATCTTTTAACAATGAGAAAAGGAATTACAGGGATCCACAGGAGATGCCTCTAGGTCAGATTTAAGGGGCGGACACGATGCGTTCCCACGGAAGGTGATGTCAAAGCTTAGACCCAGTGGATGAAGTGGGTGGGCCAGTCCAGTGTGTGCAGGAGTGTGATGCCATGCAGCAGGAGACTGTGTTTCGGGCATAAGGTACAGTGCACGCAAAGGCCGTTGGTGATGCAGAGCTCAGAGCATTCTCTACACAGGCAAGAGTCCCATTACTGAAGTCAGAGCTAGAATTCATTTGGACACACAGATGGGCCACTTTGACTACTATTATTATCACTATTACATAGAGGAAGAGAATTTTGCATCAAGCAAAGGTTAAATCTGACCTTCCCTACACCTCTAAGGGTCTAGAGCTTTGTGACTGGGAGAATTCTATGATTCCCTTCAGCTTCTAATGTTTAGAGCTTACAGACCTCTGCTTTTGTAAAGCAAAGCTCCCCGCAGTCATAAATCTACACATGAATAGACAGTATATTTCTGATTTCTTTTTCCTTCACTCTGCACCTTTCTTTTTCCCCCAAAACAGCCACAATGGCCACTTCATCAAACTTGACATCTCCTGGCTTCTTCATAAGATGCTTCCCGTAACCCAACACCTACAGGGCAGGCAAACATCATTGGGTACTTACTGAACCACTTGGGGTTTTTTAATTAAACCACAGGTGCTGATGCAAAGATGACTTCCCCAGGTGGTAAAGCACAGAAGTTTGGTGGAGACTTGGCTAGTAAAGTCCACCTCAACTGAGCCCTCTCTGGAGCACCCAGAAGAGAACAAGTAACAGGTGGGATTGCTCAGGAAAACACTTACCCCTCTGAAATTCCAGGCTTTAGGAGATGGAAACATGGGAAAGTTGTTCTGCCGCTGCCGTTTAGGCCTGTAAGAGGACAAAAAAAAAAAAAGAGATGCACTCATTATTCAGAGGAAATCACCAGTTTCAGATGGAGTTTCATCAGATGGAGAGATGCTTGCAGAAACAGTCCAGGCAGGGTGAAGTGGCTAGAGTTTTCTACAGCTCAGCAATCTTGAGCAGCCAAACACACTCCTTCCCAGGGCCCCGGGAGGAAAGCTCCAAAGTCAGTGAGAAAAGTCAATCCCTCACCTTTAAAAACAGGAAAATTTAAAAGAAAATCGAAAGTCTAAACTGGATGCAATTATAGAGCCAGACCAAACTCCAGTCTTTACTTTTCGCAAATGGAAGGCTCCCAAAGGGATGCCATCAGGTGATGTTTGCAGCCTCAGGCGCAGCCAGGAACCCTCCCTCGTTGCTCGCTCGCTGGGGAGCCCCTGCTCCTCCACACAGGCCACACTTGAGATCCTGGACTTCTAAAGCGACGGCTGACAGGACAACTGTTAAGCAGCCGCGGCCTAACAAGTCAGAACTGGCTTCCTTGCCTATTAATCTCTGCCCACGAATCAATCTCCCTAGATGCAACAGAGGCAGGTTCAAGTCGGGTCCACGCAAGTGGCAGGTAAACGGTACAAAAGATGTGGGAAGGGGGCTGGGTGGCCGCAGACACACCAGGAATGCCTTACTTCTGTCTTGTAAACTGAATTCTATTTTGTGACTGCAACACACCCACAGGAACATGTATTATGATGTTTTCATGGAGCGATAGATAAATGACTCCTCCCCAAAATGCTCTGTCTGTCTATATGGATAGTCAGATGCTGTCTTTGCTTGAAGTACCACTTCACTGAAAAGCATCCCTGAAGGAGGTCCGCCTTGGACCTGCCCTGAGGGTTAGTCAGTGATGTGCTGGAGAGCGGTGGTGCTGGTTTTTACACGATACTCACCCCTCTTCTTTGGCCTCCCTGCCACAGTGAGCAGGAACGCGAGGTAGGATGCTTGTGGTGACCACTGCACAGGCTCTGCAGAATGTCAGGCCTAATAAAAATCGGAACTGGCTCTACCATACCAGAGCACATCCTGTCCACCCCTTGAATCAGGCAGAAGACATAAACAAACAAAACACAAGGTAATTATAACAGCAGCAGCAGCTGCCAGGCACTGAACTTAAAACAGCATATGTTGAGTAGTTATTGCCACTACTCTCCACTGGGAGCTGGGGTTCACTGTTGTACCCATTTCATAAATAAGAAAACAGGGACCTAAAAAATTATTAAGTGACTTGACTCTCATCACACAGGTGAAACCAGGATTCTGGTCTCACGTGTGTGATCTCAAATCCCACAGCATTTTATTAGCTGTGTGACCCTGAGCCCGAGGTTTAAGCTCTTGAGCTTTCATATTCTTATGTGCAAAACAGGAGAGAGAATACCCAGCACACAGCCAAGACGAGAGGAGGGCCCTGACTCCAGTGTTGTCACAGCTAAGTTCTCAGCAGATGTCAGCCCAGTGCCCACAGCAGAGCTGGGACAACTGGCTGAAACAGATGGGAACACCCGCCTGACCCGTCTTTGCATCCAACCCCCTTCTTCTGCCTCACCCTCCTCCTCACCCACGCATACAGTGGAAACCTGGGCTAATAACTTCTCAAGACAAACAGAGCAAATGTGGGTGGTTATTTAGATTTAATACTCTTCTCTTATTAGGTACCATGTTGGTCTAAGCTCTTCTGAAGAGACATTTCTCCCCTTTAAAAAAAAAAAAAAAAAGCACACACACAAGCAAACTTAGAATTGAACAGTACTTCTCCCTGGTTACCGTTCCCTCTCCTCCCAGGTTATAATTGGGCTTTGCTCTCCTAATTACCTGATGAGCTTCACTGCTTCCAAAGCAACAACATATACCAGAACATTCTGAGTCAGTGTGTCCCTGTTTCACATGCTGCAGTCCACAGAAAATGACAGTCATGATAATTAACAGTGACAGAGTTACATGATGTGCCAGGGACTGTTCTAAGTATTCTGCCTACATAGTCTAAATCTTAGAATAACAGGACGATGGGTTCTTCTGTTATGCTATACTGTAATGTTAATACATTACAGTGGCACTGCATATTACCATGTTTTATATGTATGGCCTTACATATATTTAAATATACAATCATGGTAACTTTGTATCATAATATGTTTTCACATAATATTGTATATGATTATGGCATAATGGGGATATTACCATTATCCCATTTTAACAGACAGGATAAACTGAGGTCCAGAGAGGTTAAACCAGATGCCGGAAGTCACATAGCTGGTAGGTGGCCAAGGTGGGATTCATACCCAGATGTGTCAGACTCCAGATTCAGGGGATGTAGCCCCTCTCAAACAGAGAGAGGCCGCACCAAACAGGGCTTCCAAGTGTTTGGAAGGATGCAGCCTGGGGGTTGCTTGTGGGCGGACAGCAGTTTAGCGGGGCCTCACACTAAGAGGCCTCATAGACAAAGACAATGCATCAGAGCAAGTCTGTCAGTCCAGGGCACTCTTGGGCAACGCGATCACACCCCCAGTGGCTGGGGAAAGTGCCAGGAAACCTACCTAAAAGACAGCTGTCTCCAAATGCTGCTTCCCCGACCCCTGCATTCCACCACCAGTCAGGCTTCCAGATCATTCATCTTGGCTGCAGTCCCTTTTAACAATCTCATCTGGCATCAAGAGTCCCCTGATAGTTTCCTTCTCTCCAGCCAAACACCACCACCCACATGGCCTTAAAGGATGGCTTCGGGGAGTAAAAGGCACCCTCCCAAGAAGGCTCCTTTAGGAAGCCCAGGGGAACTGGCAGGCATGAACGACAACATCTCAGAAGTCAGTCAAGGCCAGGTGGGCACCACAGAATGGGCAACCAGTCCTGGGTATGTTTCTTTTGTTTTACAGGCAACTTCTTTGCACTGTCAGCAAAAGTCCAAGGGAGAAAACAGCACGTGGTTCTACAGGCTTCTCAGAACCAAGCTACCCTGGGGGGAGTTCTCTGGAGTAGATGGGGTCCTCAGGCCCTGAAGTGACCCAGGTCTGTGCACGGCACATGCACAGAGGCACGTCAGGATTCAAGGTGCATCTAGGGAAAGAGCTCAGATTCAGCAGTGTGCGTGGCTGGAATCGGAATGAGGTCAGGAGCGACAGGCCTCAGGGTTAGAAACAGAATGCATTTTCCCACCACGTTAAACAAACGTGACACTCTCCCACCACCAGAGAATGATGACTGTATCCACAGCATCTCCCAAGCTCCTGGGAGTCCGGCTGCGGCTGCTGCCGGCACTGTGGGGGCCGAAGTCTGGTGTTCAGACCTGGGGCTCCAAAAGTGCCTCCTTCCCTTTCTTGCTGGAGGACGTCAGCCAGGCCACCTACTTTCAACTCCCCCTAAGCCTCCATCTTCTCATCTGGAAAGTGGGGATAATAACCTCTTTTTATAAAACTGAAAAATTAATGTGCTATAAAAAGGGAATAAAAATAGCTGATTTTAAAATAATGATGTATCATACAAATGTTTAGCAGAGAGTCTGACATTTAATTGCTGTTATTATACTGAGTCGACGTAACCAGTAAGGAGGATATCACTTGCCATTTTCATTGGCAAGGCTCCTATCAGAGAGACAATGAAATTTACAACTGAGTCTTACAAATTGTTTAATGTAAGTAAAATAAAACAAAGGCTTTAATGTGCTATGAATATTTTGTTAGGTGACAATAACATGGTCATAAATATGAACATAATGTAACTGTGAAAAGAGCCCTGCCTTTCCACTGATATTTCCTGGTTCCCCGCTCTCCTCTTCCTTTTCAAAGATTACCACCTCTGCCAGCATGTTTTATGTGTTGCAAATATTTTAATATCTTAACTGCCAGCCCAGAGCATCTCGCTAACAAAACTTTCCTTGAATTTCTTCTCTTTTGTTTTACCTCTCTCTCCATGAGAAGCTATAGAATTACTAGGAAAACAGGGACACTTTATAAGAAAAACTAAAGCCAGGTATTTCTTATTCTGGTAGGACCACTGAAGATGTGGTGGTTTCTTTTGCTTACATGTCTTTTTAGTTTCTGTTTTGAGTACATAATCGAGGATGGGCTGGCAGGTGTTTAGCCCAGTGAAGACCCAAGTCTTCCTGGAGAAGCTCACTGGAAAGAGTTTGCAAAATGGAGATCTTGTCACCTTGGCTTGTTTTCCTCTTAAATGTTAAGTAGAAAGGCACTGCTCAGCACACGTTTCTGTAGCTCACTGACTAACACTCAGCCTCATTCCAGTCACGCCATGGCTGCAAGTCCAGCTCTTTACTTCCAGATAAATTATGGAAAAAAGAATTACAGAACCTCGGATTGCTCAGCTGGTTCAATCACTCAGCACCAGTTACATCCTCTTTACAACAGTCCTTTTGGGAATACACCCTGAAAGAGAGCCTTCTCTCCTTGGAGAATGAATCTGTAGCTCTTTATATAATAGACTCTCATTAATTTCTTTCCCTTTCCTTCCTGAGTGCCTACTATACCTCCACCCAGTGCCACACGTTAGGGAGACTGTGGCGAGCAAAACAGATCAGCTCCTACTTCCATGGAGCTTGCAGAAGGGCAACCAGCCCAAAAAGTAAGGGGGGGGGGGTTGCTGTGGAGAATGCAGTGGTGGGGAATGCCAAAGAGTCTCAATCAAGGTTAGAAGAGCTAGAAGAAAGACTCGGCCAGGTGATGAGAAAAGAGAACTGCAGCCCAGGCCCCAGGAAAAGCATGTTCAAAGTGCAGGAGGTAAAAAACTGATCTTTGAAAAGATTAATCAAACAGACAAAACTGGTAAAACTGATCAGATTAAAAGGGGGCAAGGTGAACACTGCAAATACTATTATGGATGGAGGCACAGAACATCAAGTTAATGACAAAAGACTGCTAACAACAACTCGACACCATTAAATCTGAAAACTTAAAACATATATTCCTTCAAAATATATAACTTATCAAAAATATCTCAAGGAGAAATACAAAACCTAAAAACCT